CGTTCCTGGAAATCGGATCCACTTCGTAGCTATGAGGGAACCAAATGTATGCGAATACGCGGATACCGAAAGCGCGTATAACGAGAGTCACCTGTATTGTTTTTGTTTTTTTTTTTCGGTAGAGGGGGTGGAAATCCTGTTCATTTTTCTGTCCCATCTGGGGAAGAGATATTATTTTCTCATCTGGCGTGCCTGAAGGTACCCTCGAAGCCCCCCTGCCTCCAACACTACGCCCTCCCCCCATGCCCCCATTATTTTTACACTTAATCAATTTCGTGAATTTTAGGCGTTCCCCGTCGCCGTGATATATCGTTTGTGGCCGCTCGCCGCATGAATGTAACGAGGGTCATAAAGACCTCGACTGTCGTCCTTTCCGTATCGTCCGAGACCACGCTGTTAGATTCACGAAACGGGATCACTGTGCGAAATCACGACGATTAGATCCACCGAGCGCCGGATCGCGACACGTCGAGTCAAATCCACCGCGTCAAATCCATCTCTAGACGGATCCGACATTCGCGCTCCGACGAAAGACTTCGAGGGGAGCGGATGGGGGGGAATCCCCACGATCTCGGTCTCCTCCACTACCAATGATGGCTGTGGCCATGGTCCGCAGTGAGTCACTCGTCAGTAAGTGCAGGCCCCGCGCATATGCAATGCACAAGGGACACCTAGGTGACGCAAAGCAGTAGTTCGAAATCTGAACAAATGTGGTATTTTCATCCCCGATATAGACACCGACGTGTTTGGAATGAGACGTTCAATCATTGTTAACTGGTGTGGATTGAATGCATCGCTGTCGTTACATCCACGTCACTTCAACATTCATTCAACGCGGTGACCGTCACCGTTTACACACCCACTATGGGCCAACATTCATTCAATGCTGGACCATTCACGATCGAAGCATATGCAGTAAATGATTTTTTAATGCTTTCTCCATCAGTGTTTGCAATTACTTAATTATTTCAGCAGATCTACAAGGAAATAATTCTTTCAAGAGTCAAGTTCGATTTCGAGCAAATAAGAAAGTGGCTGTAAGGCACACGAATTTCGTCGTACCAATCAAGCAGAATGGCATTTTCGGGGCGCATAACTGGAAGCAACGATGCAAAACCTTACTATGTAAGCCCGATTTCCCAATATGGGCACCGACGTCTTTATGTAGGCCATCAAGGACTTGGTGAAATTTAACTCTAACATTCATGTGACTTTTCATAATAAGTAATGACCAGCTTTGAAGGGAGTTAATGCCGCCAAGCATCACCAATTCGCATTCCACAGCTCGTTGCCCCAGTGAACTCAGACGAGTACACAAGAATTCTTCCTCAAAGGATTCAAGGGAACAAAGAGGACCTATAGCTCCCAACTTCCACACTCAACACGAACTTCTAGGGGTACGAGTAGGAACTTAAAATATTCTATCATGCATTGAGGTTATGAGAGATGTTATGCATCCTACTCTTTCCTATTCCTGTTCACTTCAGTATTCCTATACTCAATTTTGATTTTTAAAATTACCTGTGTCGTATAGGGTAGGTACCGTGGTTTCTGGCTGGTCTCCAGTTGTTAGCTGGTGAGGCTCAACTACAACATACATAGTTAATCAATCTGTTTTCATTTAAATATCTCTGGAAATTTGGGCTTTCCGAAGGCCGAATTTTGGACTTTCCGAAGGCCGAATTTTGGATTGTGCTCGGGTATTATTGACTTTAGTACGTAGAAATCTGTATTGAGGGGCTGGAAAGGAACAAGTTGGCATCTTATCAAGGAGGCTTGTCCAACCAAGGCTTGTCCGGAAGTAGGGAGGGAGGGGGTAGGAAAAGGGGAGGGAAGGGGGAGTGGCAGATGTGTATCGGCAAGGGATTGGGAGAAGCAAGGTCGACCAGTATAGCTGGAGGCGGTGTTTCCAGAGTATAAAAAGGCTTCTTGCATACCCATTTCCGCACTTCGATCTTGTCTTCCAGACAGCAGGCGTTACTTTGGTCGTCCGCATCTACAACATCAGGTAAGTCTTGATTGGTCCCTTTTTTTATTCGTCTTTGTTGTCATTTGTTAATGTGGAGAGATTTAATTGAAAATTGTTTGTTAATTAACTGATGGAATTTGGATGGTTTTCTGATGGAATGAAACTGGTCATTTGAACTTCTCGGATATCAAACATAGGACAAGTATAATCAAGGATTGCAGAGATATATGACCATTGCTTTTACTGGAAACGCAGATGGCTGGAATGAGCAGACCAGCACCATCTCCGGAGAGCCCGTGGAACTGACCTCATTACCGTCACGTGCCACAGTCGTGGTTTGACTGTTAGCATGGTGGCAGGGGAGGCTTGAGGATAGGCAAGATTCTTTCTCTGGTCTTTCGAGTTGCGGAAGGAGCCGCCATCGGTGGAGACGGCCACGTAGAATCGGGGAATGGCTTAGGTCCACCATGCGGGCCAATTGATGCTGGTGTTCACAATGGTGCTGGAGAAATCCAGTCCAGCCAGCGCCCCAAGGATCAGCCGCACTTCCATCGTTTCTGGGACGTGGAATTTCATTCCCTTTTTGAGGGGCTTTAGATGTGACGTCAGAGACAGACTCACGAGCACCAAGCTCATCCCCATTAAGATAAGCCTCAGCATCGTGACGAGCCACATCGTGAGGGCACATTGAATTATATATACGATTCCATAACCCTTTTCCAGCAACCACTCCACACGAGACTTCAGGGACATCAGCATCAACCCCGTACTCACCACCGTTACTCCTATCCTCTTGACCAGAGTGCGTATTTCTCTTTCCGTCACGCTCTCACATTCTCCTGTCCCCACGAAGGCTTGGCGCTTCCTCCTCCCATCACAATGGCAGGAATCAGGAACGCGATGAAAGCACCATCCTTCTGCTCACGCATTCGTCTTCAACCCACTGACAGCAAAAGAAGGAAGTCCTTCCTCCTTTTCCCAGGTCCTCCTGCATTTCCAGCTGTTCCCTGTTCGTCGCTTGCGTGCGCGTCGCTCCTTCAAGGCATTCTTATTCAGTTGGTTTTCATAATTTCCTTTCCGTCACCTTTTACTTCAGAGGATGAGATCCCGGATTGCCATTCAGATTCTCGCCGCGATGTTCGCCCTGGCACTCACCATGGACGCTGTCGTCGGAGTGGACTGCAATACGTGCAAAAAATACTGCGACGGGGGAATGGTCGGTACTTTGCACCTTCTTCACGTCCGGCTGGCTGGGCGACCAATGCAAGATATTCATCAGTTCCCTTCCCAAGACCTGCAAGAAATTCCGTAAATTATTGGTGTTCAAGGAATTTGACGCCGACAGCGAGCGCGTCGCCGACAAGGATCTTTCCGGTTCGAAGAGTGGCTCGAACTTGTAATAAAAGTGTGTAAAAGAGTGTAATAAAAAAAACATCCGACGATCCATTCCTCCGATTTCCATTCTTGTGTTACGGAGGGGAAGTGGGAGACGGACGGCATGATAGGACGAAAGAAGCCATGGAACGGCCGGGAATTGAACCCGGGCCTCCTGATTGACGGTCAGGTGTGCTACCTCTACACCACCGAACTCCGAGCATTCAGTCGACCCTCTCGATGCCATCCTCATCCGTCACACTTGAAAGGAAAGTGGCACGATTTACGATGGACGGAATTTCGCGGGCTTCTCTGTCGTCTGAGCAGAAGGAAGCCTGCTTTTTGAAAAGCGGAATCTTCCGTCATGGAACGCACAGTACCAGGACCAGTACCACGTGTACGAACAACGCAAGTATTACTATTATTATTATTAAAAAATTGTGAGAACTTTAAAGCTGAAAGAAAAAAATGAACACTTCTCTTTTTAGTGATAAAGTTGTAATGTAAAGTTGTAGTGATAGTTATATGCGAATTTATTAGTTTTTGGCATTTTTATTTGAAACTTGGCACACACGCCTTAATTGAGTCACCCTACGTGTATACCAAATGTCATCAAATTCGGCAGCATGCAATCAGATTGACAACGTACCAAAAAAATTATTGCTTTATTTTTATTGGCCCACCGTGTCGATAGACGATCGTGAGTGAGTGGCTGACGCTGATACCAGCCATTTTCTAGAGAAGCTAAAATCTGAAACTTGGTCCAAATGTACCTTTTGGGAGGAAGAGTTGAAAAAACATTCGACTTTGGCGGTACATGTCCTGGGGGCATTCATTCGCTGAGGTGATGGTGGGCTCAGAAAAAGTTTTGGAGCGCATACCGGCAGGGCACAGCTATTTTCTGCGTCTACTTTCCGAAAGATACTGTGCCCTGTCAAAAAGAGCAAATGGATGAGATTGAAACTTGGTATGTCGTTCTCCCAGTACTGATTTCAGAAAAGTGGTACTTTTAAAGTAAAACCTCTCAAGGGAAATTTTTTGCAATAAGGCCATTTTCCGGAATTCTTTCTGATCAAATGAAAGAGATATTGTCAGCGGGTCAGACCGCTGCTGCTACTGCCACGATGTATATCTTTCAGGGAATTGATTTGCCTGTTTGTTGTTTCATATAGGCAATGTTTTTCTCTACCGTAACACCCGTATCTGAGATACTTTTGCACACTTATTTCCACTATGGTATCACGATTGATCATGGTTAAAATTGAAACACTGTCGCTTTTTGCAGAGATAAACGTATTAAATGTATTTTGTACAGAGCTATACAAAAAAGGAAGTTGATAATGGTGCAGGTACGGCATATATTTTTATTCCCTAAAATATTGCTCAATGTTTTGATTTGGATGCAATTGGTATCTTAGATACACATTCATTTATTAAGCTTGTTTACTTTCCTTATTTAAAAAAAAAGAATTGCTATTTTTTAAGTTCATGGAGAAGCTGAAAAGTGAACTTTGCCTTCTTATTGAGTTAATTAATGATGAACTTTCCATTTTTGACAGGTTATGTCGCAGGTCTCACTGGGAGTAATGCCTCTTGCTTTCATGCATTTACCTGATGGCGGCAATTCGGTCGCTCTTCACTGAATAATTCCACAAGCTTAGCTCCTTCGTTGAATCTCGAGCTGGATGACAACGCGGTAGCGATAGCTGAGGAGAAGGGCATGTCTAATAAAGCGCGTGGGAATGTATGTGCCAAGGGGGATGTGCACTTGCGCCACAGTGGTGCTATCTTCCTGGCTTCGTCTGTAGACGCCATTGAGTTGGAGCTGCAGATTCACAAACCTGTTGTTATTTACCAAACCCTGGTAGTCCAGTCGGACACGACTGCGTGGGAACTCGACTCTTCGAAAAATCCTTAGGTCCTGTTCTTGAAGTTGTGGGTTGTTGCTGATTGCCGGGATCAAACATGCTCACGACACGTTGCAAGTCCTGACGAATTTGATCTCTCATAGCATTTTGCAGCACGTTTCCAAAATTGGAATAATGGACGTACCTGACGTGGTTTCCGTCAGGGAGCTGCCTCTCGCAATTAGGTTGATTTAGATCCCCTCCTCCTGCCTGCCTCTTAGATAATCCATGAGGATGGTCGCAATCGTCAATGTCTAAGTCGTTGGTGCCACACCATTCATTGACGCCCCTCTTGTTCAGGCAGGTGTATTCCTTGCTGTCTTTACTCTGGCATTCCTCCTTGCATTCTTCCCCGTAGCGGTCAACATCGTTCGAAGGGGAGCAGTAGCCCCAAGTCGCTGACACAGAGCAAGCATCTCTCATCCATCCTTCATCTACGAGAATATCTAAAGCCATGCGACTGTAGCACCAGTTGTAGCTGTAACCTCCCTTCTCGCAGGTGCCGGTGCACAAATTGCCTCGGTAGTCGTAGAAGACCGGGATTTCCTTCTGCTGGCTGCAATAGTCCCTGCAATTTCGAATTCAAACCGAATGGCAATGTCATAGATCTGCGAAAAAAAAAGTTAGCAGTTTTTTTTCTTCAAAAATGTAATTATTGCTACGCTTACCAACTGCTATCTGTCGTATCGCACCAGTATTGACCACTTTTGCAAGGAGTTTTACAAGATTTATTGTACGCGCCTACATCGCGTCGTGGGGAACAATAGTCCCAACCTTTGGACGTGCAGCACCAAGTGTATGAAGTGCCTTGCCACGTGTCACAGTCTGTCTCACACATTAGTTGATACGTGGAGGAGATTATTTGGAAGGCTCCATCGACAGCAACACATAGAAGAAGAATGAGGATCAGTGACGTAAGCTTCATGGTTGCCGGCACTTTAGAACTTTTCATCACTAAATTTAGCGAGTTTTCACATAAGGATCACTAAGTTAGGAAACCTGAAAAAGATGACAAATGTATGAGATGTGTTTTCTTTTCTACAGTGGCAAAAAAAATAATGCATGGAATTCTTCAAATTGGTCTCATTGAATAAAAATGAGTCCCCGCGCAAGGGCTTTTCGCATTTGCTCATTATTCCCGCCGCGAATAATGATACCATGCGATTGCGCGGATGAAATGAGAAGTTTCGTCAAAGAACTGTTGTTTTTCTTTCTTGACAGAGCTTCTCATTTCATCTATATGTCGAAACTGCTCTCGCGTAGAATATAAAATTCCTTACAAATTTGAAAATGAAATGCAATGAACTCTAGAAATATCCCCATTCGTAATAACTCGCAAACCTTGGTTTCAAAACCAAACGCTTTCATACACTTCTGCGGAAATCTACTATCGACAGATTCATATGCCCCTTTCGAAATCAGAAGAGCAAACCTGCCTGTTCTGGAGCCTCACAGTAATCCATAGCCTTTTAAACTAATCTAATATGTTCATGAATATGAACGACAGTCACAAAGACCTCGACTATTGTCCTTTTCGTATCGTCTGAGACCACGCTGTTAGATTCACGAAACTGGATCACAGTACGAAATCACGACGATAAGATCCACCGAGCGCCGGATCGCGACACGTCGAGTCAAATCCACCGCGTGTCTCTGGAGGGAACTGACATTCGCGCTCCGACGAAAGACTTCGAGGGCGAGGAGAGCGGAGGGAGGGAACCCCCACGATCTCAGTCGACTCCACTACCAATGATGGCTGTGGCCATGGTCCGCAGTGAGTCACTCGTCAGTAAGTGCAGGCTCCGCGCATATGCAATGCACCATGTCGACCTTGGTCACAACTTGCGGCGAACACCCATATTAGGCTCTTCCAGAGAGAATATGTCAATGGAGGGGCCTCTCCTATGGCGAGAGGCGCTGCACCCCTCCGGGCGCGGCGGCCATCTTAGGACTGGAGTCCGTGCGAGTTCATGGCAAACACATGGAAAGGGTGAGTGCAAAAGAGGCAACTTGCCTTGGGCTTTATGCCCAGAGGCCTCTACTCATTCCCCAACCTAATCCCGTTCTTTAATTCCCACGTGTTTGCCGGTCCGAAGATGGGGAGGGACTTTAACACTCGAGGCAGCGAAGAAACACATGTGAAGTGCAAAGAAGGTGGGGAAATGAACTTGCAACTATGCCACAATGATGCACTAGAAATTTCAAGGATTTATGATAAATTTGATGCTGATGGTACAGTGCATGGTGTCCCAGAACATTGCTAGTATAGTAATGCACAAACAATGTTCTGATAGACCTCACCGACAGTCAACTGTCAACAGTGCCTGGATGCTAACGGTGAACAATTTGAACATCTGTGGTAGTGAACCACGCAACTAGGATGCATGCAACTGGACTAGGAGCTTCTGTAAAGCAAGAGAGAAGAACCATTACTTTCAGGAAAGGGTATTCAGTTACATATACCTTACCTTGTTAGTGAGGAATGACAGCACAAAGTTCGAAGTGCGAAATACTAGGACGTTCTTAGCTGTATATTAGTTGCCTTATCTCACCCCGTTGACAGATCTTTCGGGAGTGATTGCTCGAGTTTTGTCACTATTACTGCAGCGTGCTCGCGAGAGCGGAGGCTTCACATTCACCACTGCAAGGAAGAGACTTACGGCAGCAAGACGAGCTACTGCTCGTCTACTGCAAAATACTTCAGCTACTTCAGCTACTGCAAAATGATTTACAGCATTGCCGCATGCTCAACCGGCGTATGCCCTTCAGAGAAGACAGGCCCGGGTGCAACGGCTACGACAGGAACGGCGGCTATGGCAGGTGCCGCGGAGAAAGCCGGCATATTTGGAGTCACTGGCGATGTGCCACCGTCTTTCCTGCCGCTTTGGAAAAGCGGCGGAGTTCGCCATATCCCAAACAGCATGTTTATGTTAATTTTACGTAAAATAAATGTACATTTTTTGTCCATTTTATATGATTTTTACGCAAACCATTGTCAAGAAAATGTCAACATGTTTGCAGAAATTTCACCTCTGTGATACGTAAATGGTGATATAAAATTAATGTAAACTTTACGTAAAATAGACATTCCCGTTTGCATTCCAAACAGCATGTTTACATTCACTTTACGTAAGATTTATGCTAATTTCCCCCTGGCATTCATGCGTATTTAGAGTCAATCAGTACCATTGAAGAGAATTGATATACTGAATCTCCTATTCCCTTACGTTCTTTAGAACTCTAGGGTGGTTGGATGAGTCCACGAATACGCATCCTCACCAGCACTCATGAGTACCAAAGTGCCCTGCATCCTCCTCCTGTATCGGAACCTCGGGAGAAGGCGATGATGTTCAAAAGGAGCTCTTTACTTTTCGGAATAGAGAACATGTGGCACCAACGACTTAGACATTGAACATTTTCTGAGGTTTTTCTTTCTGCGAAAAAAAAAGCAGAGATAGGAATTTCTTACATCTGCTCCNTGACCTCTCTCGCATGGATGTCCTTGGAATCGGCAAATTCATATGAGGTTTCGTTTTCATTGCATCTGTATATACGTGTAATTGGATGTCTGCGGCGGAACGGTGGCTTCGGGGTTTTTCCTCATGTGAACGCCATGAAATGGAGGAAAATGCAGAGACCTGGAAGAAAGCACGCCGAGTAAGTCATTATGAAGCTCGCATGTAAACGGAATGGCTTCCAGATGAAATTTCCGACCGGTGCCGCGATATCCGGAATCTCAAACCCAGAATTCAGCCCCCACTGACTCCTGGGGACTCGACTTAATCGCCTGCGAGAGTAAATCTGAACATTTCAATGCTCTGAATTTGGTTCTTTCGATCGAAATGGGAGACAAACGATAACATTTTTTTGTTGCAAGTCTTACATTTTCTTCAATTTTCTTCTGATGGGATATGAATAAAATTTAAAAAAAGAATTCCTTGCAAGTGCTCCGAAACGTTCGCGACGGAATTTCTACGACTGCGGATGGTAGGCCCCCGGATGTAGCGGAAGTGAACTTTCAGAGCGCACCGGTTTGATCGCTCGGAGAGTCCCTCCTTGGACGGTCCCTCCTAAAGGAGACTGCCGATCCGAGAATCCAATTCCTTCTTTGTTGGTGAGAACTCCGTCGAGTCGTGCAATCATCTTCCACAGCAGAGGAATGTTACAATTCTAAATGATGAATCAAAATTAAAAATTTAATGGGAAGAATTAAACGTAAAACGGCTACGTGTACAGCTGCAGCTTCCCCAATCTGGGGAGGAAATGCCTCCAGGAAGCACGTCAACCATGGTGCCCGCCATCCTGTTTATTCAGTGATGTATGGATAAGATTTCTTCATATCGCACCACATCGATCAATTACTGCCATCCACCGTTTGGTTCTCAGCTCAACTCATGAACTCAGGACGAAAATGTCAGATGCATTAAGAAACAGAAGATCCAGATGCTAACGGAGGTTGAATTGTTCTCAAATCCAATGTAATTTCGTCACGGTATCCGGCAACACTGGGGGACGGTACCGATCCGAGTTCTCTAAGCCTAATTTGATGACATGTAATTCCACTTTTATGGCAAAATGGGTCGTCACAAACAACAAAGCTTTAAAATTTCCTGGGGCTATTCTGTGTTGAGAGAGGAAGAAGTATGTCAAATTCCGTTCCTATTGATCCTCTCAGAGAGGAATACGAAGAGGTTGAATTTTGACACAGGAGTGGATTGAAGAAAGGTTATGGGCGCTACCGAAGTCCATTGATGCGTGAAGGTAAGGTGTAGGTCTGAGATCATAAGAAATTCAAAATCAGGTTTTGATTTGCGGAGATGACAAGATCCGAAAGATGATTGCTTGTGGACATTTAAATATCTCTGAAAAATTGGGCTTTCCATGGACGAAGTTTGGATTGTGCTCGTGTATTATTGACTTTAGTACGTAGAAATCTGTATCGAGGAGCTGAAAAGGAACCGGTTGGTGCTGGCTGGCATCTTTTCAGGGAGGCGAGAACCAAGGCTTGTCCGGAAGTGGGAAGGGAGGGGGTAGGAAAGGGGGAGGGAGGGGGGTGTGGTAGATGTGTATCTGCAACAGATGAGGGAGAGGCAAGGTGAACCAGTGTGGCTGGAGGCGGTGTTTCCAGAGTATAAAAAGGTTTCCTCAATTCTCATTTCCGCACTTCGATCTTGTCCTCCAGACAGCAGGCGTTACTTTGGTCGGCCGGATCTTCTGCATCGGGTAAGTCTTGATTGTTCCCTTTTTTGATACGTCTTTGTTGTCATTTGTGTAGAGATTTAATTGAAATTTCTCTTTTAATTTACAAAGGGTACAAAGGGAAGGATTGAAACTGATCATTTGACCTTCTCGTATATCAAACATGGGACAAGTGTCAAGGATTGGGAGTTATATATGACCATTACTTTTACTGGAAAAGATGACGCTGAAATGAGCAGACCAGCACCATCTTTGGAGAGCCCGTGGAACTGACCTCGTTACCGTCACGCGCCACATTTGCGGTTTGACTGGTAGCATGGTGTCATGGGAGGCCAGGAGATAGGCAAGATTCTTTCTCTGATCTTTCGAGTTGCGGGAGGAGCCGCCATCTGTGGAAGACGGCTACGTCGAATCGGGGAATGTCTGAGGTCCACCATGCGAGCCAATTCGGGCATGATGCTGGCGTCCACAATTCCAGTCCACCCAGCAGCCCAAGTATCAGCCGCACTTCTTCGCCGCTGGGATCTCCGTGGTGAAACTCGAGGGATTTCATTCCCTTTTGAGGGGCTTAAGAGGTGACGTCAGAGACAGACTCACGAGCACCAAGCTGATCTCCATTAAGATGCGCCCCAGCATCATGACGAACCACCTTTGGAGAGGCAAATGAGACTATATATACGCTTCCATAACCCTTTCCCAGCAACCACTACACACGAATCATCGGGACCATCAGCATCATCCCCGTTCTCGCCACCATTTAAAAATTCGTATTGTCACCCGTGTCGTATAGGGTAAACATCCAGCATAGTTAGTTACTCTATCCAAATTTTCCGGATGAGGGCCAATTACTGGTGTATTCCAGTATGCACACAGGGTGTCCACTTCATTGAGAGTCATTCGAAACGCGTGCGTGAAAGACATGTTTCCTCAAGTGCGCTTCAATTTCCGTCTTTTCTTGAGAGAATGAGGTGGCTGGTGAAAGACGCCACAGAGTTTTCACCAACAAAGAAAGAATTCCACTCTCGCTCAGGACTGACCGTCCTATATGCGGCCATAACTCGCGGGTCATGCCCATGGTCATGCCAGTCATGGGTCAAGCGCATGACTGGCACGATTGGCTTCAGGGGGGTAAGATCAGAGACTGAATATATATTATAGAAACTCGTTAC